AGAATGTGTGATAAGGGCAAGCAGTAAAAAGTTTTGCACACGGCACACAAAGCAGCAGCGACTTTTGGTAAGCGGTACTAAATTCCTGGAAAGCGTCCTCTGATTGCATTCCTCACGCCATCAACAACAACTGGTTTTTCCATTTTCTTTGCGTAGTCTTGGTAGGTTTAGTTTTTGTTGAAGAGATCATGATGAATCAGAATAAATGTGGTTGTCGAAGCAAACAAGTGTCTGATCTTTTAATTTACACAAAACATGCCCAAATACTCTAGTCTTCCATGCACAACTCTTATACACTTTTCTTAACAAATGTCATTGGCAGTTTGTACTCATATTATCGCAAACAAAGTTTACTACAAATATGTTTAGAACATACTCGTGCTGGAACTTCGCTGCTAATACACATACTTAAAGCACGAGATGTACAGAGAAGTAAATAACTTAGCACACGATTTCAATTTAAAAATGTATTGGAAATGTATATGATATTATATACGCTACCGGTATATCGGGTGTATTGAAAAATTCCACTAGGCAATTTGCTTATACCAATGGAATGCGGAGTCATACTATTCGGCTAATTACAATCCCCATTTACTTCGTTTACAGAAAACAAATACAGACCCGAATGAAAAACTTACTCCTTATTTTCTGTGTACTTCTTCTTATACAATGTGTCTGGAAACGTATTCAACTTAATTTCGTGTCATTTTTATCCCCATATACGCACTCCATACACTTAACGAAGACGTCGGAAAAAAGCATATTTGGGGTATTCTCGAAGTCTTGCACGATGCACGGATTGCACGAAATGCAAAAATAATATTCCAAATTTCGAAGAGTACGAGAGCACCCCATTGCAAAGTGGTAGCGAAATTATGTATCAAATACAATAACAAGAGACAGCAAAAAAAATGAAGTGAGCGAGATGAGAGGAATGAGAGAAATATGTAGCAATTCCAACAACAAAACAACTAGCACAGGGTCGCATTTATCTTGCTATGCTATTTTGCAAAATATATACAAGGGTTTCGACGTTGCATATTTTGCAGCGATAGGAAATGTTGTTCCCCATGTATTTTGTTGTTGTGTGTTTGCAATTTATGCAATTCATTCAATCCCTGCTACGTGCAATGGCTTTACCAGATTTGGAGAATACCCCTCAAGGTTTATATATAGAAGGTTGCGCAATGCGTAGGTCCGTTATTCTTCTCGCAAAGTTTGGGCGACAACAACAGCGAAAACAACAGGCAAACACATAAAATTGAAGTAAAGAGAAGCGATTTCATACGAATTGTAATCGATAGCTTATTCAAAAATACATTTAAAGTAAATTTTAACCAAGTTTTTGCTCATGCCTTTACGTCGAAAAAGCCACAAAACCTGATTTTTCACAGCGACCAATTTTTGCGAAATTTTCACTTACACTCACTATATCTCAGACTTTTGTGTATCGATTGATTTGAAATTCGTACACAATGAACTAGATTGTATTCTAAAGAGGATGCGTTTAACTACACTTCTTAATACTTATTTAAAACAAAATGGCGGATATTTTAACTTTTTTATAAAAATTAAGGATGTGGTTTTTACAAATGCAAAAGTTGTGTTATGAAATATAAAATTTTTGTTTTGTTTTAATGCAGCATTATAAACAAATATATACGAAAATTGTTGGGAAAGTTTCATGTTTAGACAACAAGTATTTCTAAAGTTATAACAATATTATGGTGACACCCACGAGCGGGTGCTCGCCTCTAGATGACAAATATTTTTAGATAGCACTTTTACAAGTAATTTTGGAAGTAATATTAAGTGAAATGTGTGAAAATGAAACTTATAAATTTATTAGTGTAATATAACTTATCAAAGCTCTTTGTTATAAATTTAATAGACATACTTACATACCTACATATGTATCTATG